TGCGGCCCCTCCTCTCCACCGAGGACTTCAGCCGCGCAGCCCGCAGGGCGCAGGACTTCCTGGGGCTGCAGGCGAGGGTGCTGCAGGGCTACCTGCAGCTCAAGTCCTGGTGGGCCTCCAACTACGTGAGTGCGCCCCGCCCGGGCCCCCAGCCCCCACCGGCCCGAGACAGCCCACTCCCCACCCTCCAGCCCAACATGCTGAGCGCTGACCACTCCCTATAAGACAACCGCAAACAGCCCCCCCAAAAACAAACAAAAACAAATTCGGGGGGTGGGGGGAGAGGAGCTGATACCAAGGACTCCCTAGAAATTAAATGCCTAGAGAACGATGCTGGTAACCTAGGTACAAATATGCTTGATACAGCTGCGAGAGCCCCCAATAAAATGATATTTTAAATTAAAAAAAAATTCACTGCCAGAGAGTCAACTCCAACTTAAAGTGACCCCATAGGGCAGGGTAGAACTGCTCTGTGCTTTTCCGGCACTGCAACCCTTGACGGGAGTGGAAAGCCTCGTCTTTCTCCCTCTGAGCAGCTGGTGGTCTCGAACTGCCGACCCTTGACGGGAGTGGAAAGCCTCGTCTTTCTCCCTCTGAGCAGCTGGTGGTCTCGAACTGCCGACCTTTCGATCAGCAGCCCAACCTGTAACCAGCTAGGCCACCAGGGCTCCCCAGGCAGCCAGACAGACAGTGCAATGTGTAGTCTTAAAGCTCGAATGGGATTGAGCTGCACGTTTTGTTCGGTGCCTAACCTCCTCCGTGGTGGCCGATGCATAAGGGACAAGAACAATCTTCACCTGTACGGTTTGGGGACATTCATTATGTTCATCGCCTTTAACAGCTGCTCAGTCTCCCTATACCTCGAGTACCCCCTCCACCACCACCCCTTCCTCCCGCCCTCCCCACCCAGCTTCCTGCTCCTTCCCTCTGGGTGGATGGATCCACTCCACCCAGTGAGTCTGCTGGCCATTTCACCCACTCAGCGGCTCTGTGGCAGAAAGACCCACGGTCTGTTCCCATAGAGACTGCCCGGTGCCCTCGAGTCCATGCTGACTCCTAGAAACCTTGTAGGACAGGGCAGAACCGCCCCTGCAGGCTCCTGAGACAAAATCTTCACAGACATCCATTGCCAGGTGCATCTCCTAAGGAGAGGCTGGTGGGTTTGAACCACCAGCCTTCTGGTTTGCAGCTGAGCACTTAATCACTGCACCACCACCAGCCTAGACAACCCTAGCAGGTAATTCTGTGAGGTCACTGATTTGAGATGAACGCGGTGGCAGCTAACAGCATTTAGATGTCCCTTGCTATCTTTAGCAGCTCTGCCATATTCCGGCCCCTGTGTGGAGCCCAGGAACCCTGGAGAGGTCCTGAGTGATGTGTGGGGCTGTTAACCGCAAGGGCAGGAGTTTGAATCCACCAGCCCCTCTGGGAGAAGAAGATGAGGCTTTCCAATCCCATAAAGAGTTACAGACTTGGAAACCCACAGGGGCAATTAGAGTTTAACTCAAGCTACACAAACACACACATGCACACACAAACACAGA